CTTCCGCTCTCCTCCCTCCCCCGGCGCGGCGCGTCCCGGGCTCTCCCGTTCCCCTCGTTCCCCCCTGGGCATCACCCGCCCTAGAGCGCTGGAGGCGTGAAGGATCCCGTGTCGGCCACGGTGCAGGTGGTTTTCTCCGGCAGCATTTTCTGTTGAGCGCGCTGGCGCGGCCCTGACGCGGGGAGCGTTTCCCTGGCCCAGGGGCCGCCGCGCTGGTTCCGCGGAGCGAGGCTGTATTGCCCTGTTGTTTTCCGCTGCCACGTGTTGTTGTCGGTACCGTGCGACAGGTGGAGCTTTCAGGTTCCGCAGTGGCGAGCGTTTGACGTGTCGCTTAAAGGCGGAACAGCTTCTGCACGGTCCTGCGGATTCACTCCGCAGCCGCTGGCATAGGAAAGCCTCTTGGTTTGCCTTTTGTTGCTCTGGGTGATGTCAAAGCTGAAGACCTCAGTCTTGTAGTTAGTTCCTTCTAGTGACCTCACTGTCAGGTTATGTTGCAAATCCGTGTTATCCCAGTAGCTGCCATTTTTAGTGGGTGGTCCTTAAAATTGATATTTTTGAGTTTATTGTGATTTTGTCAAGTTCAATTTTTATATGAAGATGAAAAATCACTTGTTTTTTCTTTGTTTTCACTTTGAAAGGCATGATGTTTTACTTTTTTTATTAATTATACTCTTACTTTGTATTTTGGTAGCATCTACAAACTAGCCCTAGGTCTCATAAATGGCACTTCATAATCTTATGATGTTGCTTATATATTTTTTATGTGAATGGGACTGAGTACAATTTTTACATTAATTTTTAGTGAGTATTGGAACATCAGATAAAGCAAAGTGAAACTGGGTGCTTTCTTTCAAATCTTCAACTTGTGCCTCTAAGTAGTATTACTTAAAATTAGTTGCTAAGAGTTGCTATGGATGTCTCTTAGTTAATAAATACATGTAAAAGATTTGCTAGCAGGTAGCTAATCTGAACCAATGACTTGCATTTAAACCTGTAAAATTTGCAGGTAGAAGGGTAACTTTTTTATTTATAGCGACTTGATAAAATGACTGCAAAATCTGAGGAGTACCTTTTATCTCATTGCCATAACCGTTAAGCAGCTCCATTTTCTAGTTGCATTATATAATTAATACTTCAGCCATATTTAAGAAAAAATGGTAAATAAACAGAAGTCAGAAAGGTGGTGCCGTACTCTATGTGGTGTCAGTTCCATACCAGTACTACTAAATATCAGGTACAGATTTTTGCCACCTTCTATTCTAGAGGATGACAATTTATTCCTCCTAAGATGAAGCAAGTAACAACAATTTAATTTTTTTGCTTTTGCTAACTGCTCAAGAGGGTCTGGGTGTTACGCTGAGGTCTATGGTGCTGTTAATATGTACTCACTGGTCTATGCATGGGCAGCTGTGAAGCAACAGCAGTAGCTTCTGCAGGTCAGAGAGGATCTGCAGGTGGCTGTTTTGGGAACATTAAACCTCAGAGGTCGTTTGGACTTGGAAGTCCTGTTGTCTGTAGCTTCCAAGGCAGAAGCGCTGTCGTAGTTGGATGACATTCTGCGAAGGAGCAAGGCAGCATATAGGCAAGGAGTTAATCTGTGCAGATTTTTTTATTACAAGAGTGTGTAATTCTGGCATGGTTATGTATGTTTAAACTGGTAATCAGGTTTGTGTTCCATTTGTGGAAAAACATCTATCACTGGGTTTCTCATAAACAAGTGACTAAAACCGGTGTCTTGCAGACAAGGCCAGCAGGATGCAAGCTGTGCTTGACTTGGTAGAAGTTGTGATTGTGCTCAGTTCAAGCTGTGCTGTTAGTGTCATATCCTTTTAATCATAGAATAAACTTATATGAATGATGTTTAAAAATGTCAGATTTCACAAACGACACATGGTTTTATGTTGGTCACTTTTTTCTTAAAGATGTTCTGTAACATTTTTAGAGAACCTTTTAACTCTGTTTTCTGGAACAAACCTTTGATATTTATTAGTGGGTACCCTCTGGCTATAGAAGCACTTAGAATCTCTCTTATGATGCCCTATCTAGACTTTGCTGAGACAAAAAGTACATAACAAAAAATAAAACAGTACTTACACGTTCTCACCAGCTTTTCAGAGAAATATGGGCAGCCTTAAAATAATGGTAAACAAACTTGTGCTTTGAGGTCAAATTGACTATAAAGATAAAGGTAATTTTTTAAATAGTGACTTGCTGTAGTTTGTAGTTTTCAGGAAACTGTCCAGATGGAAATCATTAATTTTTATCCAGTACAGATAGGAATAAGTTGGCCTTTCCCTGAAGATTTAGAGCGGAGGAAAATGCATGCACTGGGCTGGGAGCTGTAAACAACTGTTTCACGATAGCCAGTTTCCGTGATGCCCCTCTGCATGTATCCTTAGTGAGCAAAAGCTTCACCTCTAAGGGTGAAGGACAGTAGTTTGGTGGTCATTTCTGTTGCTTCCTGTGTTGCAAACGTAGCAGTCTGTTACAAGGCTGAAAAGCTAAGGAACCTCAGAAGTGACTGGCCTGTTGGAATGGCCGTTGAGAGCATTTACAGAGTCATAACCCAGTATCACAAATAGTCTGTCTGTATCAAGTGGACACGAAATGGAGGACGGATCCTGCGCACCTCCCATTTTGTTCTGTACTGGCATGTAAGCAGATGCTTGTATTTCTGGTGTTAGTGGGCTCTTGTTAGTGACACGTACAGAAGGGAAGGATCATAGATGATAGAATTGCTTTGGTTGGAAAAGACCTTTAAGATGAAAGGAAGAGCAGGATGGCTCAGCTGGCTCAGGCACTGAAACGTGTGGTACCCAAATTAAAGCTTTAGTGTGTTGTGTTTGTACAGTTTAAGTTATCACATCACTTCCGGATGCATTTTGTAAAAGGAAGAAGGGAGCTTTATCTTGTTTTTGTTTATTATTGTGTTGAGTAACAATGAATTAGTCTCTTTAATACTAAAAGTTTTCAATTCTTGCAGTCATACAGTGGGCCCACAGTGAATATTGCATTGCTATAGCCTCTAACAGGCACAATCTCTCCAAAATTATTTGTTGTAGGATGTGGACCCTAAATGTTACATATTTGGGGTCAGTTTTCAAATGAAGTTATTTCCCTAATTTCAGATTGCACAAAGTTATCAGATTTTGAATTAATTTAAAATTCTTGCTTCCTTAGTGGTGTGGTTTTGTTTGGTGCCTCCTCATGTGGAAATAAATGAGTTTCCACTTAAGTTTTGTTTTCGTTACCTTTAAAAATACGTTTAAATGCTTGACTAAGTACAGTACTGGCACTCCCAGATGTTTGTGTTCCATAAGACACTCCAAAACACTCGTGTGGCAAAAAACGCTATTTAATATGGCCACTCTGACTGTAACCTTGCATACTTTGTAAGGGGGAAAAAAAATATTAGAAAGAAAATTTTTCCTGTTCTCATTTCCCTAGGAAGACGTTGATGTTCCCAGTAGGCGAGTTTTGATTACTGGTGCTACGGGACTCCTTGGCAGAGCTGTGTTCAAAGAGTTCAATGAAAATAATTGGAATGCAGTTGGCTGTGGATACAGGAGAGCTCAGCCCAGATTTGAACAGATTAATCTTCTTGACTCTATTGCAGTTCATGACATAATCCATGAATTTCAGGTAAGTGTCTGTAGCATGAAGTAGATGGGCAGGGTACTTTATACACCTAGCAATCAGCTGATAGTGCTGATACTGAGTTCTTGTGGCTCTAGTGGGGCTAATGCTTTGGCAGAGCTCTGAAAAAAAACTATGGCTGTCTTCTGTGCCACATCGGGCGGGTAGGTTTGCTCTGTGGATACAGCTCTGAACTTTGCTGTCGTCACAAGAAATAGGCTGCAGGTAGCAGATGTACTTCTCAGCACACTTACACTGATAGTGGAAGATACATGTGTGAGATAAATGGGAACTATTGTCATAGTAACATGTCAATAAGCAGTTCTTTTGAAGTTGAAGAACATTTCAATGCAGCAGCAGTAACTGCATGTCAGTCATGCAGTGCAGTAAGAAGTCTACTGCTATTTCAATCTAACTTGCAAGGGGAATATAGAAAACCTGAAATACATAGTTTAAGGTGCCATTCTATAAAATAACTTTTATATTCTATTTTACATTCTATAAAATAACTTAGTCTGAATATGTCAAATAATCCCTGAGTAAGTGGCTTATCTAAAAATTTCAAGTACTGTTACTTGTGTGTGTGAGATACATATTCTATTATTCTTACATTTTATACTGTTACACAAAGTTTAAAGAACCCAACAACTTCAATATTGCTGTGAAGTTGAAGCTACTGACAATTATGGTTGCAAAAATTAATGATCTTTTTTTTTTTTTTGGTGTCTTGAAGCAGCATTGTTCTATTTTACTTAAGGAAAACGTCCTCAAAATGCCATGATTAAAAGTAATACTGTACTACTCATAACTTAAGGAAATGCCTTCTTGCCTGAGGGAGTTAATCAACTGAGTTAGGGTGCAACTGCAATCTCTTGGCAATGTTTGTTATTTAAAATTAGTCTTTAATTTCCAGCCTCATGTTATAGTACACTGTGCTGCTGAGAGAAGGCCAGATGTTGTAGAAAGCCAGCCAGATACTGCCTCTCAGCTCAATGTGTCTGCTTCTGGGAACTTGGCAAAAGAGGCAGGTAAGGACACTGTCTAAGGGATTTGTTTTCTTGTTAAAATACTTCATTTATTTATGTGGGGAGATAAATAGAAGTGCCTGAAAGTACTGAATGTCCTTCCTGTACTGAGTGTGTGCTTGATCCGTTTTCTGTAAGGGCAGCCTGCATGTCTGTGGGAAGGATCTCTGAGCAGAGAAAGCAGGAGTGCCTGGGGCTAGAAGATGATGTCCTTTGGAGATAAGTTTTAAAGGTTTATTGGGCTTTCAAATAAGGCAAGAATTAATATTGACAACGTATAAATGTTTTCTTCCTAGCTGGAATTGGAGCATTTCTGATCTACATTAGCACAGACTATGTATTTGATGGGACAAGCCCTCCGTATAAAGAGACAGATGTACCAAATCCCTTGAATTTATATGGTAAAACCAAACTGGAAGGTGAAAAGGCAGTCCTGGAAAATAATGAAGGTAAGAGTACACTCAAACATTTTTCAGGGAGGCTTTACTTTTCTTTCTTTTAAACATAGTTCTATATTAGCTTAATAAAACTAATAAGTCAGTGTTAAAGTTGCAAGACTGGAAATGAGATTCAGAAAAGAATGTCAATAGGAGTCAGTGTCATTGTTAATAAACACTTCCTATTTCTTATAGGTTAACTAAATCTTTCGTTCTTACTTGTTCTGGTCTTCAGTTGTGTTACTAGCCTCTGCTGATGGACATTCACAAGCCTTTGCTGTGAATCAACTGTTCCTAAGGAAAGACAAAACACATCATCAGTGTATTGTAATGGCACTATCTTTACCACCCTTAATATGCATCCAGTGTTATTTAGGGGGACATGTTGCAAGATTAAATAATAATGCTGATAAAATCAAACATTGGGGTTTGTTATTACTCTTTTGGTCTTCTTGTTTATCTCCTGTTTGCCTCCCATTACATAAGCCATCAGGCCATCCATTTTACTTTTACCTACCTAGCTTACCACATGTATCAGATGGCTGTTTGTAACACTTTTTAAAGGGTTAACGCTTTTTAAAGGGTTAGTTAACATGTTTGTTGTTATAAGCAACTAATTTTTTTAGATTTATTATTTAAATATTTTCCTAATGAAAATTTGTGCTCAACTTTACTTAAATGAATATGTTCTCTTGCATTTACATTTTATTTCTTGTCTAAAAGAGAGATTAGGTTGTTTCTAGTAAGTATGCTGTCAGTTTCCATTCACAGATAATAAGGAAAAAGCACTTCTATTTTTTCAAAGAATTTGAAGAAAATAATCTCTGTGCATTTGCAGAACAGGCTTCTGATATGTCGCTATCATACTCACACTGTGGGTCTGTTCTGCCTAACCAGAGGACTAAAAAACTGATGAATTAGTGTGATGCTCTTTCAGTGAGTAAATACACACTGTGCTTTAAAATAGATAGGCCTTAATATAGGTTTGATCTTGGTAGATCCTTCCCCTAGCACAGCACTTTAGTTCTGTTTCGTAACCTTTATGACTCTCAGGCAGCTACTGGGCTGCAGCAGTGGTATTATTAGCAGAAGGAATTTTGAGGTGGTGCTGAGAAAGATGTTTGAAAAAGTCAATTCCATTTTTTCATATAAATATAAACGTTTTACAATTCAGGAATCTCCACTAATTTTTTTTTTTTTCATATCTTTGAAAAAATATATTTTATTCTGGGTAGGAGAGGATACAATTTATATTTAGTACTAATGCTTTTAAAACTAAAAAGTTTCATCAGGTCTTCAGAAACACTGGTAGTGAAGCTGGTGCTCTTCAAGTCTCAGCTCACTGAGAACAAAAGGAAGCCAGTCTTTTTGTCAAATAATGAATGCTTCTAAAGTTATTAAAAACGAGATGATTCAAGCAGCGTTTGGTTGGTATTATGATTAGGCCAGTCCCTTTTTCAGTGGTGGATGCCCTGCCATAGGACATGGGGCAATGGGCAAAAATTAGAATACAAGGAGTTCCACCCTAAATATCAGAAGAAAACTTCTTCGCTGTGAGGGTACCAGAGCCTGCAACAGGCTGCCCAGAGAGGTTGTGGAGTCTCCTTCTCTGGAGAGATTCCAAACCTGCCTGGGCACCATCCTGGGCAGCCTGCCCTGGGTGACTCTGCTGGAGCAAAGGGGCTGGACGAGACGGGGTGATCGCCAGAGGTCCCTTCCAACCCCTACCATTTTGTGATGTAAAGAAAGGAATAATGTTATTTGCTGAGTGACCAAATAACTGCTTTTAAAGCCACAGGAAATCAGTGTTATGTTGGCACTGTTATTGTATTTTTTTTTCTCATGTAAGTTCTTTTGGCTTACATACCTGTGAGAATGATGTTTGTTAGCTTTTTGGGTTTGCCTTCTTAATAGCTGTAGTATTTTCGTACAAATCTTGAAGAATTGCAGTGATTTGGTGACTTCCACATCTAATTTCAGGACTTTTTGTTTTAAGCAAAAATATCTGTATTAGTTTTAATGAATTTGTCATAACCTTCTTCAGTTTCCCCTTGAAGAGGCCTTTTGAGTCTCCATGACTGAGATAGACTGGTATGATGTATTTCATGGTAAAATATCCTTCTCTTGGCACTTGTTTGCCTTTAATTTCTCAAATAACTGTCTCAAAATCAAATATTGTTTGCTACTGTATTCTCTGAACCTATTCCTTATTTGTCAAGCTTTTTATTCATTCCAAGGTTCATATTTTTTTTTCTAGTAAATAGTATCTTCCTTTATGCAGAAGGTTTCTGCATGCTGGGCAAGAAATCTTAGTCTGTAATTGATGCATGAATATGGTGACTTGTGATTGGTACCCAGGGAGGATGTGGAATGCTGGAGTAACTATAGTGCAGGGAGGGGTTAATTTAATTTTTTGTTTATTAATTTATTTAATTTTCTTAATTTATCTACTGACTCAAGCAGGCCTTTTTTTCTCCTGCAGTGTTAACGAAAGCTTGTTAACTTTCTGGAAACCTATCGCATAAGTGAAAATAAATTTACCTAAATTTAGTGTTTATAAACAATTTTAACTTATATAAATTAAAATAACATGCAGAGGGAAAACATATTAATTGCACTTACTTTGTCATTTGTAGATGCTTAATATCACCAGCATGTGTTTTAACACTTCTGAAACAGTTTTCATGTTATACTACAGCATTTATACCTACACTGTTAGCACCTTTTAAATATTCTTTCTTTCAGATGCTGCAGTACTTAGGATTCCTGTCTTGTATGGAGATGTAGAAAGACTGGAGGAAAGTGCTGTGACTGTTATGTTTGATAAAGTGCAGTTTAGTAATAAATCTGCCAACATGGACCACTGGCAACAAAGGTTTCCTACTAACGTCAAGGACGTAGCCGCTGTTTGCAGACAACTAGCAGAGAAGAGAATGTTGGTAAGAATTACCAAAACAGACTTCTCCAAGGTAAAACCAGTTCGAACGCTCGGCTTCATTTCTGAACAGCTAAGAACTGCACGTAACTTGCGTTATTTTGGGCATTTCTGGCACACTGGGAAGCAGGAAGGAACAAGTTGCAATACTGCAGTACCTTTACATGACAATGTGTGGATATTCTGGTGTTTGGAACAGAAGTGAGTCTGCTGAAAATTGCCATGTGCCTTCTATACAGGAGAGAAATCCAAATACCTAACATATTCTGACATGCTTTGTATAAATTCTTTTCAGCCTCAGTCCCTAGTCAGGTGTCCTCCAAAAATGCCTGATGCATTTCTGGGACATCAGTGAGTGCTGTAACATGCTTTTCAGGCTAGGATCTTGCTGGAAGATGATTCTGCACAGTTCTTGTGCAGGATTTGGTCTAGAGCTGGCTAGCTGCTTTTTTTCACCAGTGTTTCCTGTTTCTTCTATAGGACCCATCGGTAAAAGGAACATTTCACTGGTCTGGCAATGAACAGATGACTAAGTATGAAATGGCATGTGCAATTGCAGATGCTTTCAACCTTCCCAGCAGCCACTTGAGACCAGTAAGTGGTGTGTTATTTGCCCTGTAGAAAGATGGATGTGCTTCATCATTTCAAATAGTAGGTCTCACGCTAGCTATACAGATAAGCTTCAGGACAATCTGTGTGAGACTCTCTAGCAGAGCAGATGTATCACTGAGGATGCTGTCTGGGATATAACTCAGGAGACAACAGCTGCTTTGACATGCTAGATTATGGAAACTACCTAGGCAGTCAATACCCAGTTTCGCAGTCTGTCGTGTAACGGTATTTCTGCTGAACAATTCCCCTTAGTCAAGAGTAAATCCATATTTTTGTTGTATTTTTGTCCTTAAAAAAGTGTAGGGATTGACAGAACATGAACTTGAAGGTAGGCATCTGAAAAAACTTTACAGTGTCCAGATCCACTGTTGAATAGATGCACTTAGGAACTTAGAGTTAATTTTTGCTTTCCTTAAAACAACTATTGTACAGTTTTATTGAGACTTAAGACTACTCTTCAAGACATACTGATGAATATAATATGTAAATAAGGTTTTATTTACATCCAAAATAAATTCCAAAGACTCTGCATTAGTGAAGGCTGGAAATTAAATGTAGCTTGAATAATAGATATAAAAAGAATTGAGAACAACGTGGTAGTCTGAATCTTTTCTGCCCAGATCTGTTTCTCTTCAAATATATTGATCAAGATGTGGCTCTGTCAACTTTGTAGTGCATTTTTTACCTTGTGATTATAGTCACAGGGCGAAAATAGTAAAATGTAGAAAAGCATATATGGTGAGCAATAACTGAGACAAATTGAACTTAAGACACTTCATGTTGCTCTGCCTGACAGTTGTTAAGCTGAAATGAAGGTAACCATAAAACAAGCAAACAGCCCCCAACCCAAATAGCTGGAAGGGAGGAGAGGAACATGCCTATATAGAAAGCTATGAAAGAAAACTTCTAAATATATAAGTTTTTAATTCTTTTTTTCTGCTGTTACTGATCACTGGTTGGTGTGCTGGGTTGTTTTATTTTTTCTGTTTATTTTTCAGATTACTGATTGTCCAGTTGTGGGTGCTCTTCGTCCAAGGAATGCCCAGCTAGACTGCTCCAAGTTGGAGATGCTGGGGATAGGTCAGAGAACACCATTTCGAGCTGGGATCAAAGAGTCACTTTGGCCTTTCCTTGTTGACAAGAGATGGAGGCAGACAGTCTTCCATTAGTTTGTAATTTTTTTAGTAAAAGTATGGTATGTGGCACTTTTTTAAAAGAAAAAAAAAATAGTTTTGTATGAGTGTTCTTAAATTGTGACATTTATGAGTTTTCATTTATTCGGATAAACATATGGCCTTGCACTAGAGAAAGTTAGCCTAAAAAAACGTTCAGTGACAGAAACTGAGCCTATTTGATGTCATGGATCTTTCCTTCTATTCGTAGCAGTCTAAGTTTGTGTCTGTTCCTAGCAGATTATGGTTCTGGGTAATCAGTACCATTTGATGCTAAGATTGACCTGGATCACTTGTAGACTTATTTTTGGCTGAAATAAGTTGTTGATGCTTAAGGTCTGTGCCATCGTTGTATATACCAATTTCTCTTCATTAAAAAACACACTTACTTTATCATAAAAAATCTTGATATTTCTGTTTTTAACTTCTGAAGGTGTCCTTATGAAGCTAAACTGAAGCAGGAATTGTTAAATGTTTGTTTTGCTTGAGCTCTGATCAAAATGTTTTTTAAAAAAGTGAAACTTTATTTTTGCAATTATCAAGTGTACTTTTTATGCTCGAAATATATTCAGAATGTTCTGTAACTTGAATGCTTGAAGCTTCATATTTGTACAGTAAGTTGTATGCATTTGTTTTGATGGTGACACAAAAGCTAGAGGAGGCTTGGGAGGGTGGGGAACTAACAGTTTTGACCTGGGTTTTTTTGAGTAGGAGGATTTGAGTGGGTGGACTTTTTTTTTTTTTTTTTTTTTTTTCCTTTGTCAAGTGGAGGTTATTTGGTTTTTGTATCAAAGCATGAAATACTTTAATCTTTCTCTTTTTTGGGGGGGTGGCAGTATTTGGCATTGGTGAAACTGTTGGGAGGAAGCTGTTTGTTAGTCAATACATGTGAGACAGAGGAAAGTATATTTCAAGAATTTGTAGCACTGGGGCTTCTTTTGCACAGATTGTCAGATCTTGCACTGAGGTAGCTTATGCTGGAACAGTGGAGTGCCCATGTTGAAGGTTTGCACCATAGTAATGTAACCATAATAGCTTAATATTGCAAATCTTTAATCTACTTAAGTCTAGTCCTTAATGTTGGAATTGATAGCCAGGTAAAGTGAAGAAAGCACATGGTTTGTCACAGTTAGGCTTCTTTCTGAGTTGTAGAATCAACAACACAGATGTTCTGAGATTGCCAGCAGGTTATTAATAAAACTAGGAAAAGTGACAATTGAATGATCATTTGTTTTTCTGAGGTTGAAATGAAGGAGGAGGGCAAGATGTTCAGTTTTTATTAAAAATAAAAAAGGGGAGGGGGAGCCATGATGGCACAAAAATAGACCAAGAGAAGATCTTGGAAAGGTCAGCTTTACATTCAGTCATTTAATTTCCAACTGGCATATGCTAAGAGTTCATTCTCCTGATTTTAGTCTGAGCTTCTGGTACACACATGGTAACCTATCTCCAAGATGACAATAAATGTATATTGCCAGCATGAGAAACAGTTGTTGATTCTTGCTTTACCATCAAGGTTTGTTTATCTGAATCATAAATATTTGCAATTCTTGAAATCCGTGTGCATTTGCAGTGATTTTTCTTCTCTTTCTTTACCCCCTTCTTAATTCATGAACTATTTCCAGAGTTAGATCAGGTTGAATCAGTGTTTCTCTGTTTATGTGCTGCTGCCTTGGGGATGTGATAAATGTACACACAGAAGGAAGGTACAGAAGAGTTTGAGAACAGGAGCCTGCTACATCCTGAGCCCCAGTGCTTGAGGAAGAAGATTGTGACTACATCTCCTCCACCTGCAGGCAGCTAAATTTGTATGAAATGTGACACCTTTTTTTTTTTTCTATCACTACATTTAAAACTGATATGGGAAATTGGAGATGGGGATAAAAGCCATAATAAAAAACTTAGGAAACTAGAGGTGGACACTACGTGGACTTGCTATTTCATGGTGTGGTTTGGTTTGTTGTTTTGGTTTTTTTTTCCCTGGCATACACTGTCAGAAATGACAGTGTTTTATTAACATCTTATTTCATTTCCTTTTTAAAAATGTGGGAAAACACTTTAATATTTGGAAGGCAGTGTATGCCATTCTGGGCTTATTCCTGTTTTTTATTAAACTCAAATTCCTTATTTCTAGATCTAAAAAAAAAAAAAAGAAAAGGTGGATGTTGCAATACTGACCATGGTACTATCCAATTCCATATTTTAATGTTTGGATTTTTTTTTTTTTAATGAAAGGGGCTTTTTTGTTTTTAAGATGATGAAAAGCTGTCTCACCTACAGGAGAGCGCTCTAACTGTCCGTTCCCTTCAGCTGGCGTCAGCTGATTGGCACTGCACCCATTATTAGCAAAGGAACAGTTTGACCAGGAAGGAAAAAGACGACTACTTTCTCAAATGTGAAGCATGTAATTGGGATGAGTTGGGCATTTTACTGGGTGGAGAAAAGTACAGTATTTGAGTTTTTCTCTCCCTGAGCAAGTGAGTCCCAGTAACTTAGATGGCAGTTAATCACTGATTTTTTTTTTTTTTTTGGAGCACTAAAATATAGAAGTTAACTGTCTAAAGTGGTTTTGATTCTTAACTGTGGGGTATTTGTTTTCCATTTATATATCTGTTTTCCATTTTGCTCCATACATCATCTATAAAAAAATAAAATATACTCAACCCCATCTGGCTATCTTTTTCATTCATTTACTACACTGGCCTGAAGGCTATGACAGATTACAAAGGTGAAAAGCCACTATGTTCTTAAATGCCATATCTGTTTGCTATAGTTCTCCTGCCAAGAAAAATTGTTCTTAATCCTTAGAAGGTGAAAATCCTAAATTTTATATATGATAAGGTACAGAATCAGTAAGTCTATTATCTTTGACATAAATATTTAAACCAAAATACAGAAACAACAGCTCCTCTTAATTTTTTCACACCAAGTCAAGGATAAGGAATCATTATTTCAAGTGTTCCTGTAGGAAATAAAATATCACTTAGCTCTGTCATTTCTGTGAAGAAAAGGGTACTGTTCAGCTCTATCTTTTCAGAGGGGATGTGCCTCCTCAGCACCCCTCACCATGAAGCATCGTACAAATTGCTGTGGAGAACGTAGTTTCCAAGACACTATTACTAGAGAGATGCCTTCTGTGACATCTCCCTTCTTTGGTTAGAGATATTTAAGAGAGCGTTACAGGAACTGCAAGAGACAGTGCAACTCGTGCTGTAATTTGCCAACTGCTTTTAAACTGTTGGTATTGAAAGAACTGGTCATACTCCTCCCTTTTCTTCCCTAGCTTTGTTTTTCTGGCTCCATGGCTTTAGGTATTTGTGTCTATCAAGAAGACTCTGGGAAATGTTCAGGGTCAAAATCGTTGTGATTGCATAAGACACAATCTTTGTGTGCAGAGGAAAGATTGGTTGCTTTTCACAGAAGCAGTGCCGATTTCTGCCAACTTACTGATTGTGCAAGTATGACAGTATACAGTCAGTCCTGCTTGAATCCTTATTCTTGGGTTCTTTGATACTTAAATTATTCATTGTTTTCTGTCAGCTAAGGGGATAAAGAAAGAAAACTCACTGGTTTTAAAGTCTCATTTTCTTCTCAGACTGCAAAGATGCACTTGCACTTTTTATCTTTCAGACCTTCTAAACCCAAAGAACAGATTTTAATGAATGAAATGAAGTTTCTTATACCATCTGGTCTCCTATTTATTGCTGCACAAAGATGAGGTAAAGACCATGCAGATTTGTCCCTAAACGTAAAACAAATTTCAAGTAAGCATTTTATAAGATTTTCCGTTCTTTTCTAGGCCTCCACTATTGTTCTAGGGAAATACAATATTGGAACTAAAAAAGATGGATGCATTCTACTTACTCCCTTTAAAGAGAAATGTAACCTCTTGACTTATTGTTATGCCCTTTGTCTTCTAAAGCTCATGTTATTAGCATGGCTTCCTAGCAGTGGTATCAGTTACTGTCTGTGCACAGAGAAGAGTTTCACACTGTTTTTCAGTTACACAACTCTGTTTTTAGACTCATGACTTTCTGGCTTATTGCTGGGATGAGGCCCTTGTGAAAAGGTTGTCACTGTAAACCTTCACAGTGTTGTCATTCTCTCCACGTGACTCCATTTTGCTCTTAGAAGTTTGTTGTAAGTAATGGAAGTATGGATCAGTTCCAAAAATGTCATTCTTCTCGTAACTGATCAACTGAAAAGCTATCAGGGAAAGGTAGAGATTTATTAGACCAGTGACCTTGAAGCCATGATGCAGTATCGACTACCAGTTTCCCAGAAAACTGGGCGCCTGCCAGGTCAATGGAAACCTGACATTTCTCATGAGTCATTTGAGAAAATTTCTTGGCAGTTTTGGGAAGCACTAAGGTACAGTAAGTGTTTGCTTTAGAGGCGTAGAAGCTGTAGAGCAGAAGTACCCATGATGTAATCTTCAAGGGCTTTTGTTGTACACAGCTGGACTTTCATGCCCATCAGATTTATAAAACAGGTTGTTGCCAGGTTTTTTCCAGATGGTTTAGCCTGCCTCCTTGCATTCCCAATTTCCAATTTGCTAATAGGCAAATTCTCCATTTGGTAAGGATTTTGCAAACAAAAGAAAAAGAAGTATGAATTGAGCTTGCAGGATTCAGCAGTGCTAGGTTCTCTTAAATTTCAAAATTTAGTATTTTCTCTGTTAAATACTGAAAGAAAAGTGAAACTGATGTCTGAGCTCTACATATCTACTCTGTTTTTGTATTTTAGGCCTCATAGTTTATGGTGTGAAACAGGAAAACTAGACGATGCATGAAATCCCTTTGGTTAAGAGCCACATTTCTGCAAATTTGCAGGAAAATCTTTAGGAAAATGCCATTTCAGGTCAAAACAAGCTTTTAGCATCTCTCATTCCCTACTGTATGTTATACAGTCAATTTCAAGTAAGACTAGGTTGACAGAAGTTGGTGACATTTCTCATCACACCAAAAGACTTTTAATTCACAAAATGGTAGATTGGCATTTTTCCTGTGGTCTGGAGGAGTTTCTGGCCAAGTTACCACTGCCCTGTCAGTTCCATACAAAATCACTATAGCTGAAGGAAGGTGAAGCTGAAGGGGCAATTTGCACCAAATGCTGCATCCCTGATCAGAGGAGAGAGGACATTCTGATGTCCAGATCACTGCACTAGGCTACGGTTGTTCGTAATCCACCCCAAACTGCTATGCTTGATTATCAAGTTACAGCTGGCTGACAGTGCAACCCTGTTGCTACCTTTCCCTCCCATACTTTTTATTGGCCTTTGAGAAGATGCATTTAAAAGGCTGCTGAGAAACATGGGGGCTGCAATTGAAGGAGTAGGGTTGGGGATTTCTATGTGTGTTTTTTATAATGAGAAGGGCACCACGCAGAGAACATCTTGAATTCTGTGAAATACAGTACCCAAGCCACTTCATGAAATCCCATCATCTTGTGGGCAAGGCTTCGTTTGCTTCAGTATTTGTGCAATTTT